CAATACCGACATCTTAATTGTGCAAGTATCGGTTACAATTCGATTAAAATCAAATCTTATAGTTAGACGACTGAAAAATACATTTAAAATACGAAATTCAGATAAGGAACATGGATAATCGAGGGATTACTTGGCTCTAAGAATTAATTAGTCTTTGTGAGACGAGTTTCATACGACGACACGGTGGTTTTGAGCGTATATGTATATAGTCACTCTCATATCAACTAGATTTCGAAATTGTTCGATAGCGTCAGCTTTTCTTGTTGAAGAGCTGTCGTTGAGGTGGCATGGGTTAGACTGAAGCAGATATTGACGGCACATCAATTGTATTGATTGGCATCGAGCGAAGCTGTTCAGACTCAACGCCTTCCAATACAATTGATCTGGCATCAAGCGGGGCTGTGCACGCTAAACTGGAGCTAAAGTAGTCATATTTCTGCTGAACAGTTTTACTGGGAAGTTCTTTGATGTCGTTTGATGTATCTCTCAGAGGGCTCCCCTTTGATCGAGAAACCCCTCGTGATATTAATTTTTTCTCTCCGAGTGCACAGACGCTTGGCTATATATATAGGGAATGTAGAGAATATCGCAACCTCCCAAACATGGAAAACATGGAGCAATATTATTGAATAAATATTAAATTACCCATACATAGTTCAGTGGCCTATACTTAATATGATATCAGGGTTTGTAGTGTCAAAAATTTGGCGTTCTGTTGACTAGTGTAAGTTTGATAATTTTTATTACAACTTTTTTGTTGCAGGGTTCGTACCGGCAGGAAATACGTGGCAGTAAAAATCTGGTATGAATGTTAATTCTGCTCCATTTTTCCATTCATAAAATAAATAAGTGAGTTTCGTTTTTAATTGTGATTAGGGAAACAAATATAAAATCGATCCGATTCCTAATTCATGTACACAAAATCATGAAAACCCACCACTGAGATATTTTGTAGCTCGGCCAAACGAGGACATCCATGACTTTACGTCATTTATCTACTGCATCTCATTACCTCCAGCATTTAAATCGAGTCATTTCAGTTCATGATGAGTAAACATTACAAATCTCCATCACATGATACAACCCTTATTTACCCGTCCCTATCTACCCTAGTTTCCCTGAATAACCGACTGCACATTTCCATTATTTTCGCCTTTCCGTCATCACCCGACCAGTGCGAGTTGTTGCGGCAGCATCAAAGCCTCCATCCAGATGACTTCATTAGAGCAAAACACGCCACCTGGTGGCGCCATTCGCGCACCAAGAGCTTCGAATGGATTCTTGTCTCGCTCCAATTATTTGCGATGTTAGAACTCGAGTGTTATGATACGTTCCTCCTAATATTCAGTCACCAGGCCAACACACTGGAAGTTTGAATAATAATGACACTTTAAATCAGTGATTGTACAGAGTACAACGATACATCTCCGATGATAGTCTATAAGCGTGAGTGATTTGCACTAATTGACTCATGTGTGTTTGGTGAATACATGTTACGTAAGGCTCTAAATAGCAAAAAATGGTGAGGTTGAATAACATATAGTCGTAGTGTCAATGGAAAAACACACAATCCGTAAAATTTTTTCGTCAAAATAAAGATGTGCATCAGGAGGCGACAAATTATCATGAGATAAATAAGAAGAAATATAGAATTAATTATAATAAAATTACGTTTTTGCCCTGTAACCCAATTGCTTAAATTTGTATAATGAGTAATAGTATAGTCAAACGTAGCTCAACTATGAGCAAGTGTCGGTGTAGGACTGAAGGCTGTTCGTATTACTGGTACTATCTTAATAATTAAGCTCGAATTTAATGAAGTTGTGGAATAGTTTATATTGAAAGCTCATGTATTATAAAATTGTATAATAGATATAGTTTCTGTTAATTTATTAATCTAAATAATATATATGGGGAAAATTAAGGGCTAACATATTCTAACGAGAGGACATTCATGCCAGTTCATCTAAATAACATCTTTTAATAATTTCCAATCGTCTGAATGTAAAATAGATAGTGAGACAATAGCTAAGATTTCATTTTTCGCACGGTACTCTAAATTTACAAATATTCCTTTTAAATCTCATCACGTTATTTCCTGCTCCAACGAAGTCCTCATAGATAAAATCTCCAAGCAAAGCTCGCTAAAATGAGTACAAAATATTTTTTCTTGCAATTGCCTCACTTAGTGGTGGACATTTTCGAAGAAGCCTCACAACGCTCTAATATTAACCCGATAAAAAAACCTTATCTACTTGATACTCCATTCGACGCATCAGCACGATCGAGTGACAGATCGAGTTCGTCTGGAGCCTTATTTGCAACGGAGGCAATTACCGCGGATGGAAAATTAGATTAACTTTTTTTTAGCGTACCTTCATTGGCGTTTAATCAAACGCAGACGACGCATCGACGGCGAATCTCGCTCATCCCGGGGAACTTCCCTCCGACACGCGCGATGTCGGCACCGCTGAATGCGCCGTTACTTCAGGGCGTGCTTTCTTGATCGGTGGATTTGATGCGATTTCTCTTGCATCTATTACATTATAGCGTGAATAGCGCGACAAGTTTCGTTCGTTATTGTACAGCGTAACTTTTTGCTAAACATGAATACTGCGACCGAATGCTTACAATGAATTTTCCTTTTTAATAATTTGTTTTCGTTTCTGCGCGGCACAGTCGTGAAAAGTTTGGGTGAGCTTGATTTGCCAAGGATGGAAACACTTGATTTGTCAAGGCTGGAAACTTGAGGATTACTTCTGAGAACAACATAGGATATAGTAATGAATACTTAAAAGTCAGTCTGGTCCATAATATACTTCGAACTCTGGGAGATGTTTTTGAAAGACCGGAAGTTCACAAGTTTACTAAAAGAACTTTTGTCAGGTTTCTCAATTGCAACTTAGATGGCAGCGGCAGTGCTTCAATTAAACGGCTTGTAAAGCCCTTAATTAGCAGTTGTTTGGTAGCCCAGTAAAAAATTCTTTACCATTAATGTTCATATGAGACTCGACGGAAGTGTGTGATGTTGGGATTTAAGATCTCATTAGCAAGGCTTCATCCAGGACAGTTCTGGCGACGCAGACGAGCTTCAAAACACGCCATTGAACGGCGTGCGAGAGCTCTCCTCTCCAGGTACCTGCCAATTAAGTTTTACTTTTAGCGCAGTGCTGGAATCGCCTCTCTTTAGCTGAGCTCCCTTTGTGATACTTGCAAAATTTTATTAATGAATTAATTAACGGAATCTTTCTATACTGCCATATTCAGTAAATTGATGTCTAATACGGTGTCTGATACAAATTGAGATGTCCATTCTTTATGCAAGTCTAAAACAGTTCTGTAGCGAATTTAACAGCTCAGTAAATATCTACCGATATCAACTCATCTTTTCATTCACTAACCAAGCACATTATAGATTAAAAAATGTTTAATTAGCGCGCTGGAAAAGACGGCATTTAATCTGGTTTGGATGTTAGCGGCAAACAAACCTGGAAGCTCCCAAAGTGCAGCTGTTAGGTGGGAACCGCAGTGCCGGGCAGCCACACGACGTTCTAAAACTTGTGTTCCATTAGGCGTTTGAATGCGTCTAATCAGGCGACTAATTAGCGGCGCCTGTGGTGAGAGCTTCAGGTGCTTCATGCTGTGCCCAGGGACGGAGGAGGGAGGGTAGGTAAACAGATTGGATGGGGTGGGGGGAATGGAAGATTGTCAAAAGTGGAGGAGGCAGAGATTTTGTGGGGTAAGTGTCAGTCATTACCCACACAGTAAAACAAGAATGGAAATGAAAGAGCCTGTAATTGAGATTTTACTGCAAGGCAAATTAACGAAAAGGTGGGCTTTGAATATAAGTATTAAGATGGAAAAAGAGTGTAAAGAATAATACCCTTGGCAACGTGCGTATCTGTTGAAAAGCAAATCTAATAAATGATCGACGTTGAAGATGAATAAAGAGAAATAATAATACAATATAACAATTATTCAGACAATAAAAAGGAACCTATTAGAGCTTTAACTAACCTGCAGCGGGAATCAGCCGAACAATAATGACTAACGAGAAAATTCTGTGCGCGACGTTAACTTCCTACAGGTGTTGCCAAGGTAAAAGTAAATTATAATTTTATTACAAAATGAAAGTCGCAAATTGTCTTAACACTACAATTTGATAAATAACGATATGCATTCAAACGATTAAGATAAGAATTTAACTTTTGCAGAATGCAGTGCAACTTGAAGGAGTGCTTGCAACGAGGAAGCATTAATGTGAAATCAACGATAATTTGTGTGATTAAATATGTTTCAATCCTTGAGATATGACTTCAGTAGATCATAAAACAAAGTGTAACCTTAGCCTACTATTTTGCTTCCTAACTATCATGTGGACCAGGATTTGGAACGAACGCGGATATCATCAAAATTATCTACTCCACGCATACACTAAACACACATGGATTAATTCTGTAATTCAGACTGTTCCCACTTACCCTTCACCTATAGCAGATTTTCTAAACGACAAGATATTTAATGTCGTATTTTCGGGTCACAGGTTTGGATTCAGAGTTTTAGCTCTCCGCGCTGCAGTGTTGTCAACCTCGTCCTTTCCTCACGCAGGTTTGGATTCAAAGCTTTAGTGGCATCTCTTTACGGTGCTGTCAACGTCGTGTTTTCTCACTCAGGTTCAGATTCAGAGAATCAGTAACCCACTTTACAGTGTTGTCAACGTCGTGTTTTCTCTTCTAACTCAGATTCAGAGAATCAGTTATCCACTTTACAGTGTTGTCAACGTCGTGTTTTCTCTTCTCACTCAGATTCAGATAATCAGTAACCCACTTTACAGTGTGTCAACGTCGTGTTTTCTCTTCTCTCTCAGATTCAGAGAATCAGTTACCCACACTACATGCAGTGTTGTCAACGTCGTGTTCTCCTGTCACATGTTTGGATTAAGAATATTAGTGACCCACACTACAGTGTTAATTGTTAACGTCGTTTTTTTCCTGTCACAGGTTTGGATTCAGAGCTTTACTACGTACGGGCTGGAGTAATTAACACATACGCTCTGGGCTACACGGTGAAGGTTCCCTCCAACACGACCGGCCTTCACTTCACGTGGAGCTCACAAGCCAAGCGACCGGTAACTGCAAGTTTAATCTAGTTGCACCGAATTGAATTCGAACAATATTTACCAGAGTAATTGATTGAATTTGTCTTTATCTTGCCAATTTGAGGCTGAATATTTATTTATCAGAGTATTTATTTTGCAAATTTGAAGTTGAAATAGAGTTATTTATTCGTTCCGATGTTTTGAAGCTAATTGAGCTATTCTAGAGGCTAAAGAATTAATGGGTCTAGCTCCTTAATGATCATGATCTCATTAGCGGACTAAGTAGTTTTTCATATGAAGATGAAGAGCATTAACTTCTCTAATCGTATTAACTGCATCAGTGGATCAAGGTATAACGTCAAAGAATATCATCACCATCACCAGAGCCATTTGCTTTTAATATTAAGATTACGAGAATCTTGATCTATAATTCCTAACCCCAATCAGCGGACCTCTTTCAAACGAAGGCAACGAAGCCCTTCATTCGAGAGTCCTTCAGAGGGCTCGCCAACGGCCTCAAGTGCATCGAAATAAACCAGAGGAATATTTCCCTAAAATTTGATAGCGAGATTTCCAGCACCGGGCAAAAACATTATTTTAGAAGAATATTTTAATTCATTTTTTTCTTAATCATACTACTGCCTTTCGATTAAAATATTTTCATTATTATTATAAAATAGAATTTTTTGTTGCTCCGAGAAAATACTATAATTAGTTTTTGATATTATTTATGTTTTAAACTTTTTCAGTTGCTTAAGCGTACAACAAATAATTGGCACTGAAATTTGTCTACATTTTTTTTATAACCACATAGATGGCAAAGGGTTGATTTAATTTCAACCAAGCTGAAATTTCTGCTCACCATGTACTTACATTGAACAAAAATTTCAGATGCCGTACGAAGCAGCGGTGGAGTACGACAAGAGCGAGGCCATGTTCCAGCCGCGGCTCAATATTTCAGCCAAAGGCTTCGTTCCAAGCGAGCCTAGTACCTTCAGGTGACAGTTTACTAAACAACGTCAGTTGCGATCGCAATGCGACGCAAATTGTGGTATTAGACAGTAACAGATGAATGAAAAAACGTTCAAAAGTTCTCTTATGCATTTGGATTTTGGATAGAAAAACAAGGCGTTGTCCTTGACTAATTATGACACGAGCATGAAATTTTGCATACAGCCCCAAAAAAAGTTTGGGACATGCATGTATCAATCCCAGAGAGATGTGAAATTAGACGACAATGAATTTTTTTGTTGAAGTTGAAGAAGGTTTTACTGCAGTGTCTTTATTTCTTCTAATGCGATGATGTATATTATAATTGCTTAGACTCATTCAATAGACGAGGCAGTAATTATCATTCAATAAAGCGAGACAGCCATGTTGTATGTTAATTTTTTTGCACGAATTGATAAAATGAAATTTAAGCGTATTCAAATCCGATAAAATACTCATGGCTTCGTTTATAAGAACGAAACTTCTCATCTGAAATATTGTCAGAAATTATACAAGCTTTCAGATCAGTTAGTCATGTTATTTCCTTCCCTATTCAGAAGACATTACATTCAACGGTATGAAGTTCTTTAAATGTATATCAAGATCCGTGCTAACGTTTAGAAAAAATGTGCGTAAGCGACATCGGATTGAAGAAGAAGAATACCACTTTGGCCATGAATTCATATTTTTAAAAAATATGTGTTTTAAAAATGTTACAAGTCATTAATTTAAAAGGGCCACAATACGAAAAGAATCACAAATGTGATGCTTATGGGCAGGCTGACGCTGCCGTGCTCCGGGCGCGCGGACGCTGAGGTGCTCGTAGCGCTGCATCTGAACGTCTCCGACCGCCACCACAACCTCACTTCGGTCACCTTCCGCCGCAAGAAGATCTGCCTCAAAGCTAAACCCGAGATTAAAGGTAAAAATTTGTGTCAAAACTTTACTCACTTTACTCTCAAACTATTTTACTTTGAAACTACTTGAGCCGTAAAATTAAAGGTGAGGTCAGAACAAGATCTACCATGAAACTAGAGATGAAACTTAATACAGAAAGAACCTGAGGCAAAACTTCTTAGAAACTAATCCTGGAACAAATGGATGAACCTGAGGTAAATTTCCTTCGCTTGAATGAGTTGAGTTTGAAGGCTTGAGCTGAGACCACAAGAAAGACTCTAGATAGAATAGTCTAAGGATTCAATTCGCATTCGCTGGAATAAAAATACTGGCATCGCAATACTGGCATCCCCGTAAAATACCTCGTAGTTAACGGGGAACAGTAGGTGAAAAACAAATTGGTATGTGGATACGTATAGAGGCAGATCTTAACTCCAAAAACAATTTTCTATATTATTGTCGTGAAGAATTTGTCATGGGCGCTAAACGGATGCAGCTTTATCTCAGAAGTCAACCTTCTTATTTCATTGTAAATATTCACTTTTACTTCACTTTCTGTTAGAATATTCTTGTTTTCCCGGCATCCCGCAGACCCCGACGCGGACGAGCGCAAGGAGTCGGTGTTGGTGTCACCGCAGTTCGCGCACGCGTCGCTGGGCACCGTGTACGTGGCCATGGGCTGCGCGGCTACCGTCACGGTGCTGGTCATCACACTCACTGCCATCGTCTACCTCAGGGTTAAGCGGTCGCGGGACTCGTGAGTTGACTTACAGTGCACAGGACATCAGGGTTAAGCGGTCGCGGGACTCGTGAGTTGACTTACAGTGCACAGGACATCAAGTTAAGCGGTCGCGGGACTCGTGAGTTGACTTACAGTGCATCAAGTTAAGCGGTCGCGGGACTCGTGAGTTGACTTACAGTGCACAGGACATCAGGGTTAAGCGGTCGCGGGACTCGTGAGTTGACTTACAGTGCACAGGACATCAAGTTAAGCGGTCGCGGGACTCGTGAGTTGACTTACAGTGCACAGGACATCAGGGTTAAGCGGTCGCGGGACTCGTGAGTTGACTTACTGTCAACTTATGAGTCCCTCGACCGCTTAACCCTGATGTACTGCTTAATCCTGATGATTGTGCAATATCGCAGGATACTAAAAATTCTTGACCAGCAGCCGCCTTGAAGGCAGTGATGCGATTCTCGTGAGGTGAAGACCTGTTATCACAGGCTGTTAATGGTTGATTTCGCATTGAAGTAATATGCTAATAGTGAGTTACTTTACTAGATTTACCGCATTTACGTCATATAAAGAAAGTCAAAATCAAAAGTATTCAGAAAAAAAGGAGTAGAATATATCCCGATAAGTGGGATAATTTGTATTTGAAAAGTTTCATAAATCTTTATATGACGCTATTGTTCACAGAAGCTGAATAATAGCTAGGCATTGTCGTTTACTAATCTTGCAACTTGGAGAAAAATACGACCCTCGCTATAGGCTTGAACACTCACTATCATATCAATCACTCGTAATTTTTAACTATGGCCGCCTTCTTAACTGACGACGCTTGAAGTTTTGATTAGTATCTCCTGCCCTCAGTAGCAGCACGATCACGAGTCGCTTCTACAGCAGCCCCAGCTACTTCGGCTCCGGACGACCCCCAGCCTCGCTCAGGAGCAACTCCTACGCCACCATCGCCTCCTGCAAGCACCTCACCACCAACACCAAGACTGTGAGGCCTCAAATGTTCAGTTGAAATTCTATAAGGTGGCGCAAGAGTGGCATGCGTTCAAGCTCATTATTGTGGTTATTTATTCCACTGAGATCATGAATAAATTGAACACTTTAAGAATTAAATGATACTAGTGCGAAAGATTTTCTATCAGAAGAGAAGAGAGAGATTTTATCTGCCTTCAAAAAGTGAAATTTAAATAAATTTGATTTTTGAGTTCCATGAGCATAACGCTTAAATACCCGGAGGTCATTCGCTAAGTATGTATGAAAATTGTGCAACAGTTTCGAGGTAATTTCCTTCAGTAATATTTATTCACCGACGTTAAAAAGATTAGGTACTGAAGGAACCGTCGTTTTTTTCTCCAGGTAAGCTCTTTTATTTATTTTGTAGTTAGGAACTCAAAATTTCGAAATGCTTGAAGATAAAAACAAAAACAAATTCAATGCAATATTCAATGAAACTATTAAGTCTAATCAATGCAGTCTAGTTAATAAATCCAACGTCATTATTTGGTTCTGTTGTAACTTCTCAGGTTTTGGTGGAAAACCGCAACCCTCTCGGTTACGACCTCAGCTTCTCCTGCGTCGGCAACATAGAAAATGGCGTTAAAGATCCTCATAAAAACGACATCCAAGAAACTCCTGAAAAATTCAAAGACTTGGCAACTTCATCCTCTGTTTTGGGCTGTGGAAACAACGGTTCAACTGATAACAATTTGTCGAAGAATGTCATTAACCTAAGCAGTCGAAGCTGCGTTAGTGAAACAAGGCCATTCACGAACACTTCTTCCAGTCTTTTTGGCATAGACAAAAATAGAACTTGCACCAGCAGCAGCGTAGCCGGTGTCAGGGATGGCATGAAAAGCAGCGCCGAAAATTCACAACGTGCGCCACCAAAGCTCATGGAGATTGCTGGTTTCTCGAGCAAGAATATCAATAAGGGTGCAGCTTCAGGCATATGCACCACACTTATAGCGGCTAGAGAAGAAGCTCGTGCCAACAGTAGAGGTGGGAGTACCGGAGGTAGCAATTCTCTTCACTATGCAAGCTCTCCTCTCAGTCAAGTATATTCGACGCCATACAATGCTTCTCCTGCACATTCTTGGCATCCCAACAGTAGGATTTCTATTGCCTCTTCCTGGGGCGCTACTTTGCGTTCGCAAGTGAGTTCATCATTTCGAATATAAGCATATTAATAAAGTTAAAATGAATTTTATAATTAATTTTCTAATTTATTTCTCTCATACATGGACTAATAAATGAATTTTCTGCAATTTCTTGAAGCAAAAATTAAGTAAAATTTGTTTCTAAAATTTGTTGCAATTTGTTGACTTTCTTCTTTGCTGAAGTTCTCATGGCGGGAGAGCAGAAGAAAAGACACTAAGGAGACAATCAAGAGCTTGGAAGTGGACAGATGGAGGGTGAGTGACCGCATCTTATCCGCTGGCTGCGAACTTAAGAATCCGGTTAACTATTCATTATCCCTCAATTTCATGGTCTTTGCATGCGTTTTAAAACTGCAGAAGTCCACTAAATCTCGTGGATTACAAAAAATGCATTCGATCCGCCATCATGACATCGTGTGCGGCTAATTAGATTTACTTTACATTGTAGATGACATTAAGTTATAGATGTTCTTGTTTGTAAAAAATAAGATTAAGCGTCTAAGCGTAGCTCTTTATCTTGGACTCAATGGATATGATTTTCTGGATAAATATTCACAGATCAGGTTGTAGTTGGAGACTTGTAAGCATCAAGTACTGTCTTCTTGAACGTGCACTACGAACTATTCGCTAAACTGGTTATGGTCGGAGACATGTATCTATTCTATGGACAATTGGACATGCTTTTTGATTGTGAACTATGAACTATTTACTGAGCAGGTTCTGGTTTGAGACAAGTATCTAGTACCCTATGGACAATTGGACCTGCTTTTTGATCGTGTACCACGAACTATTTACTGAACACGTTATGGTCGGAGACATTTATCTAATACTCCATGGCCAATTGGACATGCTGTTTGATCGTGAACTACTAACTATTTACTGATCAGGTTGTGGTCGGAGACATTTATCTAGTACTCTATGAACAATTGGACATGCTGTTTGATCGTGAACTATGAACTATTTACTGAACAGGTTGTGGTCGGAGACATTTATCTAGTACTCTATGGCTAATTGGACATGCTGTTTGATCGTGAACTACGAACTATTTACTGCTCAGGTTGTGGTCGGAGACATGACCCACGGAGGGACGTTTGGCCGGGTACACGAAGGCCTCTGCAGGCACCCGAACTCTGGCGTGTCGCAGCCTGTGATCGTAAAAACGGTGTCCGGTGAGAAATTTTTAAACGTTTCCAAATAAAATCTGTGAACAAAATATTACTTTACAAAATTTTGAATAAGCGAAACGTGTGTAGTTGGAAGACGCACGTTTTATCTGACCAGTTCATAACAACTTCGACGAAAAAATACGATGCACTAGTTTGAATTTCGATTATATGATTAACTTAAAGTGTAAGTTCCCTCCGCATATTCATTCCACCTCTGGAAAAAAATTAACCACGAATGGAGGTGACTATATTGAGTCATAGTTTAATCATTGAATGGAGGTGAACTTTGGAAAAAGCATGCAATTTATTTCGAAAACGTTATTGCTCGAAAAATGTGTTAATATGACAATAATTATCGTGTCGTTTGATCTGTGCACTTAAGGCGCGGCGTCAGCCAGCCAAGCAAAGCTGGTGTTGCACGAGGGGTTGCTCATGGCGGGGCTGCAACACCCCAACCTCCTCCCCATCATGGGTGTGTGCACAGCGTCTCCTCACGCCCCTCTGCTCCTCTATCCCCTACATGCGGGGTCACATAACCTCAAGCAGTGAGTCGCTCAAGTAAATCGATACTCATATCATTAGTTGTCAATTTCGTCTTCTAAACATTCAAACTGAGTTGTTTGTTTTAATCATCCGAACTCGTTACCACATTCGAAAAGTAGTTAACAAATTAAAATTACTTTCTTAAACCAGCATTTTGGTCAACCAACGTCATCTGAAGAATATTGTTCGATCCTTATAATTTCAATCAGTGAATTCTCTGGCCACAATCCGTGTTTAAACTGTACATCCCACAGACGTAAAACTCTATGGATTTGGAAACGAACATTTCCTTTATTCCAAATGTAGCGGAAAACTATCAATTAATTAACTATATTATTTAGATGTTTGCTATATTGTGCTTTTTACAATTCACTGTCCCATCATTATGAGAATTAGGTTTTCGTACGAATATGTAAAAAATATAATTTTTTCATTCATCTAAAAGTATGATACAAGTGGTAGCATTTGCCTCTTAATTTCATTCCCTGCGCAGGTATCTGATGAAGAGCGCGTCAGGAGGCGCAGGCGTCGCTAAGCTGCTGACCCACGACGCCGTTGGTCTCGCCATTGGGGTGTGCAAAGGCTTGCTGCACCTGCACCACAGCGGCATCCTGCACAAAGACGTAGCCACCAGGAACTGCACGTGAGCAAAATACTGATAAACTTTGAATAACTTATTAACCTCATATTATTATATAATTAACCTCCTATTAAGGACCTCCAAAAGAAAATTGAAAATGATGGTTATATTGCATGACGTAATACCCGTAAAATGCTTTTAATGGTTTAATCAATCGCATAGGATGCTTTTGCAATGTAAGAAGGATAATTAAAATTGAGAATGAATTCTAAGTTGATTCAAATTATCCGTGTTTTATCTTTCGTGCGATTATGTGCATCCAATTTACTTCGATTGAAAATTGTGATTTTCAATTGATAATTCTTTAATTATCATAATCTGATAATATTGAGACAAATAATAATTTCTTGTTACACAGCATCGACAGCGAGATGTGCGTACGCGTGTGCGACACGGCGCTGTCGCGAGACCTGTTCCCCGGCGACTACCACTGCCTGGGGGACAACGAGAACAGGCCTGTCAAGTGGCTGCCCCTGGAGACCCTCCAGCACAACTCCTTCAGCGCCGCCGCCGATGTGGTGAGAGCGCTGTCGTAGTGTGAGCTCTACATTTGTAGCTCAATGAATAGGGATATTTGAAATATAATGGACCAGAAGAAGATAATTTGCATTATCTAAGTGCTTCATCTGGTGAAGAGATGACAGCACCAACTTGATTTGTTTTATTTTTTTTTTGTAGAAAATAAGGTTTGACAGTTTCAAAAGAGTTTATGTGAGTGTAGAGCATGAAAACCTTCGATTACTATAAAAAAGTCGTTTACTGGGGCCACGGATTACATGTTAAAAATCTCTTAGTAACAAGATTTTGAGTTCGGCGTTCTCATGTTTGATCCGACTGGTAAATTATTTATTAGCACAATTGAATTTAAGAGTGTTTGCGTGATTAAATAGGGGGAAATTGATAAATTGATAGGTTCTCACTTTTGATTGTATCAGATTACATTTTTCAAGTACTAGAGATTTTTGTTAACGTAGGATGTGAACTTGAATTTCTCAATTTAATATGAAATGTTTCAGTGTTTCATTACACCCTCTCTTTGTACTATATTTTGCCGAACCTGTCCAAAAAGAGAACCTTATTCACGTGCCAAACAAGTGCCACTCGGCAAACCACCTGACAAAACGATAAGTAATGAATACCGGTATCTTGAACCTGAACCTGAACGTAACGTAAAATTGGTGGAGTAATCACTCCGATTCTCCCAACTTTAAGATATATGAGACGAGAAGAAACTAAACGTCTCTCTTTTATTATATATTTTTTCCCCCTATTTAATCATGCGAATAGACTTCTGTCATATATATTGATGATGTAGGAGAAATTGTGTGAGCTTGCAGTGTGATCGAATTCAATATACCATTTGGATTGCAGTATGACTCTGCGTGACTATTCAGAGGATGTTATTGTTATGTTTGCTCAATATTAATGTCAAATTTATTGTTAATGACAGTGGATGTTCGGGGTGCTGGTGTGGGAACTTATCACCCTGGCGCAGGCGCCCTACGTCGAGGTCGACCCCTACGAGATGCTCGCCTACCTGCGCGACGGATACAGACTCGCGCAGCCCAGGAGCTGTCCTGATGACCTGTGAGGCTTGCACGTTGCGCCATAATTTAGATCATTAATTCTTAATTACTAATCATAATAACTATAGTGAATTTTGTGTCTTTATTTTAATTACTTGAGCTGACGTTATTTTGTTTTGCGAATAATGTGTTAAATACATGGAATTTTTTCATTTCAAATCCGATTCTCCAATTTAAAATCACAATTGATCAGTTAAATATTTGGCTAAGTACAAAAATAATGTATCACTTAATGAAACGTACATGGGAGAGTTTTTGTCTTCTTAAATATGACCTATTTAAAAATGATTTGTCGATTTAGCAAATGAGATCATTTCAACATTTAGATAACTTTACACTAAAGCAATGTAAAGATGCTTTCTGGTCGCCAGGTTCGGCGTGATGGCCGTGTGCTGGGCGCCGCAGCCAGACGACAGACCGTCCCTGCAGGAGCTGCTCGCCTGCCTCGAGGCTTTCCACAACACGCTCACCGCCTTCATCTGAAGCTCTACGTGGTTCTTCCTGCTCCAGCAGCTGATATTTATTTTGTTGGAGCTGCTCTTACTACTCCAGGAACTGTGCTTACTCCTCCAGCAGCTGTTTTTTTCTCCTCATGGAGCTGCTCTTACTCCTCCAGGAGCTGTTCTTATTCCTCCAGGACCTGTGCTTACTCCTCATGGAGCTGCTATTACTCCTTCAGCTTTTCGAGTGCCTCGAGGCTTCCCACAAAACGCTCACTGCTGTCATCCGAAGCTCTTCGCAGTTCTTGTCTTGTAGTTCCTCGTCGTGGCATTATTTCGCAGCATTACCTGCAGTGTTTCATTTGAATATTGCGCTGTGATTTCTTAGGAATATCTTTTTCTTTCAATTGATCGATGAGTGCGCAACGATCCGCAATCGGAATCAAGTACGTTGAAAATATTATTTTTTTTTGCTTTATTTTAAAAATACTACTATTCTACATTGCAATGCACTTTTTTCGAGAGTTCCGGTACTAGACTTTTGCCTCAATTGAAGGATTCTTCAATGCTCCGTTTACGGTACGAGGGCGCAACTACAGTTGAGTAGATCTCTTCAATGACATTACGGAAAAAATAGAAAGAAATTCTTGCAAATATCTCAACTTCTTCGTATACTATCCTAAGGCCTTGTTCTTTGTCGTAACGCTTGTTAAGGATACGTTTACTTCCATGTTTACCTCTACATTCTAATATACACACGTCATGGCGGATGATCAGTTTTCTTGGGATTATTTATATAGCGTTATAAATTTATACTCTCGGTTAAAGATTCCTCATAAAGGCTTTTTCAACCTCGGGAAATATAGCTTTTGTGCAAAATTTCGTTTGCATTTACTCAATATGTTATTGTTTTAGGAATGAAATGAAAATTATTAAAAAAATTGCATTCCTATACTTTGAAGTTCTTCTAAGTCATAAAATTTCTGTGTGCGCTTCGAGGGATTCTTTTTCTTAAAAGTATAATTATTATAAAAATATTCTACCTCCCCTGCGTTATTGCCGTGGTTATTGAAAGCGTTTGTCGTTCTGTGATGCGATGACGAAGAGTTATATGCTTTAAACGTCGGCATCATTCATTTTGTCTATTAATTGAGGTAAAACATAAATTTATTTCGTATTCTTAGATACGTACTTGCAAAGGATTCCCAAGCAATAAATCTACAAAGCATATAATCAAAACGGACAGTAATGAGCAGCATTAATATCGAGCTCATAAAGCCTAATGCAATGAAATATGTTGCTTGCTCTTCAATCCACCGTTGTGCCTGCTGAAAAAAATATATCTGGAATCAAACTTAATGCCCAAGCGAACAAAACATAACTTAAATCAAACTTGACACAACTAATAGAAGGGTTTCTATATAACGTCCGACACGTGTTGAAGATTGTCTTGTCTCGTTTGAGTGCGAGGTCTAAGCAAGCTTTGCTAGGTGTTTGGCATAAACAGGCCTCGAAATTTCTCTTTGACGCTCCACAATAACTTAGATTAAATTAAAACAATAATTTTATACTCCAGATCTTCATGAAGTTTCATGAAAAATTCATTTGGCGAACACCGGGCAGCGTATTCGACTCGAGTAAACATTGCAAGAATATCTTATCGAAAGAACTCGTATTTGCTAACTAGGTTATTCGCGTTCGATATTTACTACACAGCTTTAATCTAGGAATGTCTGCTAAAAAGCAATATTTTTGGATGCTAGAGCGGCAGTAAATATATGCCCCAAATACTAAAATGTTGCTTATGCATCGGATAATTTCTCATGCCAACCACGAGAAGTTAGCCTTACACTGATCCTCAGTCCGCTCAAGTTGTATCCATAGGTCTATAGCTTTAACAATTTCCAGCCCAACTTGTTGCATAATTCTAGTAGAAGCATTCTGAATTAGAGGGCATACTAGCGAGGTCAGGCGGCAAATTATTATAATAAAATTATATGTCATTTCTGAACTCTCTGTGTCCATATCATTGTTCTGTGTTCATTCTTATCTCTTCCTGTGTGTTCATAGATTGTGTAAGTCTAGCTGAAGTGCGGCAACCGAACGGGAGTTTGCTAGTTTCCAGTGAACTTATTCTTGACGTTTTTAATCATGAAGGAGTTGGATTTTTCTAGGAAGAGCTGACAATTAATCATCATTGTTGTGCTAAAGAAGTGCTCGAATTATGTTATTATATAATGACACTCCAAAGAGGGACAAGAATAGAAATGCCTTAGGAGCAAATAGTTTCTACATACAAGGATCACGATCATGTAGCTACAATTCCAATAAAAGTAATGAAATAAATACTCTATTATCAGAGATATTCAAATGGTTCGCAGGGAGAAAGCAGATTCATTGAAGATGTTAAAGTCGTTACAATCATGCAATTATCCCTCGACAACGTTCCACTAATTATAGGACCATGTTAATTCACTATCATTGTCGAAGAGACCCACCACGGAATGCTATTTAATGACAATTTGTTAATAAACTTGAATAGACTTGAACTGAAAAGCTCGAGTTGTTCAAAATAACATGAATTTTTTCCATCAATTTCGCATTATTTCAGAATGTAAGGGGAAACTGCCACTAATATGAAAAATGTCCGACTTTGAGTATTTACGTACGCAGAAGTTGCACACTGTAGCATTACGACTATTGAGGTTTTACAGAGTAGGTTCATTATAGGGTGGAACGTTTTTACTTGTACAAGTTGTCTTAAAAGTTACAATGTTGTAAAATGTCTTGGATAAATATAGACTGATATTCTTTACTTCATTTCAATACCCCCACTTTAAGTACTTGACAAAAGCGTCAATTAAATTTTTATAGCAAAAACGTGTACATTGATCGCTGATGAGCGAATGTTACGTCGTTAGAAGCTAGGCATTTCAGTTAACAAATTGCGTTCGAAACGAGTTTGATTTTACTCATTGAAACTTCTAGAAAACGGGAAGAATGCCTTGGATTTCAAAGAGAGCTCCTTCATTTAAAATTCCTGTAGGGAATTGACATCATAACACCCTTTCCCATCCAAATCCAAGATCTATACAAAGATCATGAAAACGCACCATAAATTTAAGACGGAAACCATCCAAAAAGAGTTCACAAAATATTGAGTAACTGGCAGTTTAATAATAATCTCATCGGGCGAGAAACATAAACTCCCAAAATCAAAATGGATAACTCAATGACGTTAGCAATACGCTCAGCATAAACATAAACTAGTATCCTGATGTAAAATGAGCAAATAATTTCACATGAAAGTCTAAGTATGAACAACATTATTTCAAGAAGACGAGTTTATTCTAAGAGGCATTAAAATATCACGTGAAGCCTTGAGTTTGTTGCTGGGCCATATCTGCGACGAGCGAAGCGAGGTGTTGCCGACACCGCTCCACCTCGAGCCTCACGGCGCTCACGTCGGGCGGCAGGCTGTACGACTCAAGCTGCGAGCGCAGCGTGGTCACCTGCAAATTTAACTCATAAGTTCAAATGGGTGGACAAGTGGATGACAATAATGTTGAACAGACATACTCTAGAAATTCAAATGTTGAACAGACAGACTATAGAAATTTAAATGTTGAACAGTGAGACTCTAGAAATTTAAATGCTGAACAGACAGACTCTAGAAATTTGGATGTTAAATTTTGTGCTAAAAAAAAAAAAAAAAAAAAAAAAAAAAAAAAAAATTAGTGCTTGAAATAGATATTTTAGTGTGTTGTTAATGAATCTCTTGTGAGAGCACCCCAATACATTCAAATTCAATTAAATTCCAAAAGCGCCATTATACATTACAGAAGAGAAGTTAATAGAGTTGTACTGAGATATTCGGTTAAAATATTGCAGGAGAACAGTGCTAGAGAACAGTCATTACAGGGAACAGGTCTTTACAGTGCAAGTGCGATGCATCGCATTCTGGTTGATATAACGTCACTCGCATATAAAAGGTAGGAGTTAGGAGAAAACTGGTGAGGATTCTGTGTAATGGAGGTCTGGGAAAATTAGACAGAAAAATAAAGTAGCGTCACCAAATAGTTTGGAGAACGATACATGGTTTACATGTACATCATTTGAGACACATAATATAGAACAAATTAAGCAATGGTTACATGTCAAGTTTCGACTACAGGAAGGGACGAGATTGACAAGGATTAGCGATGAAAAAACTTTGACTGACTTGGAGCCATTACGTCCTGCAAAATTATGCAGTTTGGCGCTCAATGGTGACTTAAGAGAACAGAATATTTTGCAACGAGCAACGAGTTCCTTCATAGTCAAGCAATGCTTTAAAGCTTACTTTCAAAGCCAGTTCATTTTTCTTAGGCATGCACATGATTAGAATTTTGATAAGAAGTGGATAATCCGTGCTGTTTTTTCAATATCAAGGGATTGCAATAAAAATACAAACATGTAACTAAATGATTATGAAAAGATTCCTTGAAAAACAAAGTTCAAAAATCAATCCATAGCGTATAATGGAAAGCAGCAATCTAGCCACAGGATCATGATGTAACGATAAGGTTTCTACTAGGTCAACAGTATTGCCGTTATAATAAGCACATTAGATAAAAACGATAGTTTGTAATAACTAGAGGTAGTTCTTTCCAAAGACCTGCTTCTGTAGCTGTTGTAACTCCTGCCACTGCTGCACGACGCTGTCGTGCGTGATGCTGCCTGTGTAGCCACGGTGCTTCAACAACGCCTGTAACGCAGACATAAGTCATTAAATCAGCGCCTGTTGAGAAGTTAAAACTCACCAACAAGGGCTCTCTAGCCACATTATCAATAATTGTAAAGAAATTATAACTCCTTAACACGATTCTTCTAACCCATAATATCAGCGCCTACGAAGCATTCATAAGTCACTAACTCTCGAGTCCCCTGCTCACAATATCAACGCTACCTAGTTGGGGACGCGAGGCACAACGTCAAGAGAAATGAATGCAATTGCAGCCTTTCGAGGTTCCGATAATTTCAATAATTTAAATTTCCAGCAAGCATGTCTCCCGAGATGCTATCACCCTTGTAAGTTTTTCAGAATATAAAGAATGTTTAGTTCAACAAAAATTGCAAAACAAATGAACACATAATAATGAGGAATTAGGTTGATGGTGAAAAATTTAATGAGGCAGAGAGCAAGCTAAATCGACAACATTATTAGGCTAATGAATAAAGTTTGAGAGAGCAACAAGGTCACTAAATCATTTCCGAAAAACATACTTCTCCTTCGCTAATATCCTTCTCATATTCCATAAGCTTCTTCTCGTGGAAAAGCGCGCGTCGTTCGTCGTTTTCTTCGTCCTTCTTCTCCAGCTCCAAGGCGACCTCCACTTGATTTTTTAGCCTGCATGGATGCTTATGATGTGAAAATATGCAAAACAAAGAATTCATACGATACGGAATATTCATGAAAATCTAAAAAATAAACAGTTCAATACCGTAACTGATAAAATCATAGTACCTTATTCAGCTGACGCAAAAACTACATGCTTTCTGATCAATGATATTCAAGTGAGGTAATAATTATTTCTACAGGTACTGAGTCAAGAAAAAACACAGTTGATAGTAGAATAGATCCAAATTTTCAGATGCTGCACAGTAAAGTCAACAGATATAGGTGGTCTAGGTGATATAGGTACGTATAGGTGGCAATGAGGCTCCCCCAAAAACACATTTTAAACATCAAAAGCCTTTAATTTCTCACTAATCTAAGTCCCACCAATCAATAAACTTTCATATATTTTCCTATGTAATACAGAAGCATGCTTTTCCCGCATGGAGACGTTCATTTGATAGTGGAGAGTAAACTCTGGTCGTGCAAACCCGTACATTTTGGCGTGCTGTATTTTCGTAGCCAGTTGCTGGGAGAGCGTGGAAAGTTGGGAGCGTAACTCGTCACTTTCCGAGGCTTGCCGGCATATCTGAACAGAAGGATACTTCTAATTAATCAATAATAAAAAAAACTCCATAACTTCAGAAATACTCTGTGGAATTTCATTTAGGAATTTAATGCGTCAACCGAAGTGTTGCTAAAGAATAATTATAGAAGCTTCCAGAAAAATAAACTAGTTGTAAGAACGGAAGAAAAACCAAATGTATTTAAAATTATAGAACTTTTAAACTGTACCAATTTGATTGATACAGAAAACACTGTCTCACCTCGTCATGCTGTGATTCCAGCTGCACACTGCCTAGCATAATTTGGCTTTCAGACGGAACTGCTGCATTTACGACCTGAAAAAACCACAAAGCATAACTAAAATTTGATTCAACATGTCACAGATCATTCTTTGTCATGAAATGAATGTGCCTACTTTAATGTACTATATTTATTCCAAGAAAAAAATCCAGCAATATTATTGGTGAAAGAACAGTATTAATGAAAAAAAACAAGAGCAAGCCAGTTTTTCACATTATAGTACTATGATGAGGATGAATTGAAACTAGAATTCTGCCTTAGCTAAAACAGAATCGTATATATGTAGCAGGTACGTACCTATTAGAAACAAATTACAGCATAGGTTGATACTCATGTTACTGAGGCTGTCATTTAGGACATGTATTAGCTTTTCAGAAGAAGTTAGTAAAAAAGTCCTAAATATTGAGGAATGCAAACTTTAAGGCTAATTAAATTAAAAATTAATTATTAAATTAAATGATTTGAATGATAGAACTACGGTATTTAGTATCATTCACAAACATATTGGTATAATATAATTATTCAATGATTAGTATGAAATAACTGAAACAAATGCAAAATCATTACTTCCTACAATATACCTATGCTGTTTAATAAAATCCTTGAAGTTGACAAATAGATTACTCACAGTTGCAGCTTGAGAAAGTTCTGTGAGAGCACATCGAGCATCATCAGTCAAGCTACTTATGCTAAGCCCCACACACCTCATAGCACTGGCTATCTGTTCACCTAAAAAATAGTTAGAAAGATGATTTTTTGCTATTAAATTTGATAATATGTGAATAGAAACACATATTGTTAGAGAAAATGGTAACAATAATATATACTAGGTTATATAATTAAAAATTAAAAGACAATAAAATATTCTGTTCTTCTGCATTTAAATTGGAATTCCTCTCTGCCTGGCTTCAGTAAAAGAAATTCATGAGATAATATCCAGCAGAATTTATGCATCATTATTGCATAGTGCATTTTCTTGTGTCCACTGCTACCAATCAGTATTACAGTCAACGCAATTTAGTATGGTGATGAAAGCAATGTTAAAGCATGAAAACATGTATAATGGTAGCTGAGGATAGGACATATTGATTCATGTCAGGACAAGGGCCCTGGCTGTGCATGAATTACAAAAAAAAAAAAAAAAAAAAAACCTATACAGAGGGGAAAAGAGAGATTGTGTAGGGTGGAATCAGTAGAGCACCTGATGATGGAATGTGAGGTGCGTGGGAAAGAAAGTGCTGATTCAGAATGTGAGTGATTCAGAAGAATGGAGAGAAAGGCAAGGGGAGGAGAGTGAAAGCAGAAATTTAGGAAACGTGTAAAGAGTTAACTGAAGAGATTGTGGGTGATTCAGAAGAATGGAGAGAAAGGCAAGGGGAGGAGAGAGTGAAAGCAGAAATTTAGGAAACATGTAAGGAGTCAACTGAAGAGATTGTGGGTGATTCAGAAGAAGCAGCTATGGCTGGGATTGAAATCTTCTGCTAAAAAGTAGTTGAGAGTGTGAGGCAGGTATGGCAAAGGTGGAGAATGCCATGAATGGTCTTGGTGTGAAGTACTGTAATAAATATAAAATCAAAAAATAAACATTAGCCTTAACAAATACCTATTCTTTACTTTTTGATTTATAATGTAGGTCCAATTTTCCAAGTTTTTGCTCCAAGGATTTTAGGGAATGTTTTTTTAAACTTGAAAGTAAATTTATTACTTCTTATATTTTTGAATATTAGTACCTACTATTAGCAGCATGGCTGACCAATGCATGAAAGGCCTGAGGCCTTCATATTAATTCCCAATCTAATTTGACCCTAAGAGTTCCAGGATAGAAAAATGACTGGTATTAATAAGGAAATACTTTCTTAAAAAAGTTCTGATTTGAGAGCTCATTGTCCAAAATTAATAATGAAATTCTTTTTTTATGGATTACATAGTCAACTATCAAACATGCAAGTAAAAATGTACTTACTTTTAGCAGTGTATTCATCAGCTCTAATTAAATAATCTTGATTCAAGATTTGAGCTTGTTTGTCAGCTTCCTTAGATACAGTCATGAGCTGATGCAGAAGATTGATGCTTGCAGAGGATTTCTCGTAACATGGCACTGCTGAAGCTGATCCATAGATAGATTCCAGCCACTGCTGCACCTGAAATATGTTGTAGAATATCAAATGATTGTCAAATTTAAACCTAAATTCCATTGAGGTTTGACTACAACTTGTATTTTTTCCTAAACTAGGATCATTTCCTACAAAATTTTTTCAAAAATTTGAGACTTCAGGGGATTCAGAGACTACTAGCATTATAGCATAGAAAATACAGACTTGTCTTGATCACTGTAAACAAAAAGTTGACTAGGGACAAATTTGCTAGCTAGATAGATTTGCTAAAAAGCTATTTTTTAAGGATACAGGTAATTGCGAAGACAGGTATGTGGAGCACAACATATCATTAAATGACAGACCAGCAGATGTTGTCTTCCCAGTCCCAGTGCATTTGGACTTTTCTGCTTATCATCATGATTAAACTCCAGGGCGCAGAGGGTGGATGCAGCAGCGCCATTATATGGGCTTTTAGGCCCTAAGCGTTGCCGGGTAATTTTAAGATGCGTCGCCAGGTAATTTTTAATGAAAAGCCATTTATGCTGAGTAAAGAAAAACTATTTACAAGCCACAAACTTATTTACAAGGTTGCATGCACGTGTTACCCCAAATAACTAATTTTACCCTAAAAACAGTCTGATTGTACAGCAAGTGTCAACTGAACATGTGATAATGCAGTCTGACCGCTCTAATGGAGTTATGTGAGTAATACTACATAATCGTAAGCTTGATGTTTAGATTTTTTTGGCGGAAACTCATCACAACTGATTTCCAGACAAGCTTCACTGCATCCTGTCCCTGATCCATCTAACATATCGGAAACCTTACTTTTTTTTAAATAGTTGGCCAAAGACTGACAAATATATTAAATGCAAGAATTTCAATGTAAATGTGTCGGCAAGATCTTCTGAAGGCGTAAATTTTGCTACTGAAGCGTCGCCAAAGATCTTGAAATATTCATCCACTCTCTGCATGGTAGATTAAACTATCAGCTTAATTAACAGGTGGCTTCTGCCTGCTCATTACTTTGATATTTGACTAAAATTAGTAGAAGATTGTAGTTTTCTTACTTACATAATTTTTCCTTTAAATGCAGATATAGCCTCATTATAGCGTCAATTTCATTGTCCAAATCAAAACATTAATTTAAACGCTCATATCTTAAAGTTTGTGCATGGCAGATACCAGATGGTTATGCTATGGATGAAACAATGGTCAGATAATTAGGGATTGACTGAGGCACAAACACAATAAGGAAGCCTTAAATTCTAACCAGGAGCAATCATGGGACGTGGGTATTTTTGTGAGGCAATTTCAAGTGACCATATTATACATACAGTGGGGGGAAATAAATATTCGTACACTTGAAAAATTGTATTTTAATGTATGTAAGTACACAAACTGAACAGGAGAAGTGATTTATATTATGTATAGAGGCGCATAGATGTGTATAAGAGACAGATATATATACTCTCTCGTTGCNAATGCGCCTCTATACATAATATAAATCACTTCTCCTGTTCAGTTTGTGTACTTACATACATTAAAATACGATTTTTAAAGTGTACGAATATTTATTTCCTCCCACTGTATATATATGGTAAAATTGGTAACTTGTCCGTGAAAGGGTCAAGCATGGCTGAGACTACCAAATAAACCAAAAACCATATCATTGCATATACTATGCTACTATTCTGAGTCTCTGAGGGTCTCTGTAGACACTGCACTGCCAGAGTGCCAAATGTTTAACATTCAAGAAAATAAATTATTTTGGTTCAAACTTCGAATAACTTACTTCAGAACGTTTGGCGTCCATAAAAACAATACAGTAGAGATTTATTCAATCAAAAATTCTAAGAGAGGGAATGCGATGAGATGGGGAGCAATTGATTCAGCCCTTACATCTTCATGACTTCATCTTTGGGAAAGAGAAGTGATCAGCACAGGGAGAATCATTCTTCTTCTTCTTCTTTTCAAGGTGTCCACGTTGGGTGGACTGAAAGCCACAGGACAGCCGCAAGGGTGACCGTTGGGCCTGAGAGCTTATGTTATGTTGGACTTCTTGGTAAGGAAAGCTGGCCTCTTTGTCCTTGTTTGTACAAGGTCAATAGAGGTGATGGATGAGCTTGATAGCATGTAAGAGAGAATTTACACATGACATGGATAAGTTACATGCACACGGAACACAGATGACTGTATGCAGTCACTCAGAAAAGTTGCACNATAAAGAAAAGTGCAATACAAAATCAAGTTAGTGATTAGTGAATGTATAACTGTAATAGTTTACAATAATATGTTTAAACGCAAAAGAGATCGTTACGTTGATCACGATTCACAGAGCACAATATGAAGATGTTTGCCGTATGAACGCCGCGGACTCTCTCCGGAGAATCATTGTTTACGTTTTTTGTTTTGGGAAATTTATTCAAATTTCGTGAAGAGGAATCATCCGCAGTCACTGAAAGCCTAAATATTGGCCCGTATGCTAAATGGGGCACGAGCACTACGAAGTAGCACTACGCACTACAAGCCGTAGTGCGGTACTAGTGCGACATGGAACACTACGGTTGGCATGCTAAATAGGGCACTAGCACTTTGAAGTAGCCTAGCACTACGCACTACAAGCCATAGAGCGGCATGGAACACTACGGTTGGTATGCTAAATAGGGCCAAAAGCATAACGCGCACTACAAAAATCTGAAGTGTCCTACACACCGCACTTCACGACGACACTACGGTACATTTAACCTTGTTCACTTTGTCAGTTATGGATCTGTTTGGCTTACAGCAAATGCATCATCGCGTAAAAACCTCAGGAACAGCATGCCATGAATATAAAAAAGTGTACCGCTTCAGTGAACAACATGTTATTCTTACGGCTGACATTTTCCTTGGCGAAACAGATGAACAGCGTAGAAGTAAAAAATACTCTTCTTGTTTTTGATACCATGTTTCGAATTTTTTTTCTGGAGTCATTTTGAATTCTTCTGCAAGAACTTTCCATGCTTCTCTCTTTTGTTCGATGTTTTGGGAAGCGTGGACTTTGAATATATGATGGGAAATGTGCGCAGACGCATTGCGAATTTCAGCTCACCATCACAATTTTCATTAGTACCATTACCATCACAATTAAATATTTTACATCAATCTTCTGCAAAGAATGAGAATTACTTAGGGAATAATTAATTATTTGAGCACTTAACTACCATTCTTCAATAGACTCATAGCGTAGTGCGGCACTATAAAGTACTCTAACAGCGAAGTAGCACTTCAAAGTCTTTTTGCATACGAATCAGTAGTGCGACACTAAGCGACACTAAACATTGTAGAGCTACTTCGAAGTGCTTAGTGTCTTTGACGTATTTAGCATACCAACAGGACACTTCGTAGTGCATAGTGCTACTTCGTAGTGCTAGTGCCCTATTTAGCATACGGGCCATTATCTGTAATCAGAGAAATGTAATCACCGGCAAAAATCATATATAGCTTTTTTCAATGATCGAAAAAAAGACAATTTTATTTACAGAATGTTTAGTAACATACTCAAGGAAAACTGAAATGTCACTGTTTGAATAGGATTTATTGCTTGCGTCCCTAATTGAAGATCTATGTATACATTATTATATGGGTTTGACATAATTGACAGTGTTCCGCACGAGCGGCTGTTGCGTGAAGTGAAGTCTTTGGGAATCGAGGGAAATGTTCTCAAATGGATCAGAGATTTTCTAGTAGGTAGACGACAACGTGTCAGCATTAACGGAACCGGAACAGACAGGGCACCAATGCGCTGTGGCGTGCCGCAAGGAAGCGTTCTTGGGCCTGTTTTGTTCGTTACGTTTAAAGTAGTGTCAATAAGAAACACTTCCAGAAATAGCATCAAGCGTGTGCTCTATGTATGGCGAAGGTACAAAAGTTTCTAATACAGTTAATGCCGCGTCAAATAAAGTACAATAGCAAGATGACCTTGATAGTTTGGTTAACTGGGCTGATATGTAACAGCTGCGTTTTAATGCTGGCCAAGTGTAGAGTAGGTACCTCAGTTCGGGAAGAACCATGAACAACATGATTACTGCATGAGAAGAAATAGTTGCAACGAGAGAGTAATGATTGTAAAGACTGGCGTGGAAATAGAATTGGCAGTTTATGTCGACAAGGAGTTAATATTTTCTTGGCACACTGAAACGCAAGCTAATAAATCCAACAAACTTCTTGGACTGATCAGACGTTCTTGAGAGTTCCTAGACGCAGAAGCGATGAAGCTGTTGTTTGTCGCTGTCGTACGTGCGCCCGAACCGTACGACCCCATCTGATCGTGTCGCTGTCGTACGTGTAGAGTTTGGAAATGCCGTGTGCTCAGTCATCGATGTTTGAAAAGGACACAAATTTAGTAGAGAGTGTTGAAAGACGGGCAGCAAGGATAATTCCAGGCTTGTAGGGCAAGTCTTAAGGCCCGTTCACACTAGGGGCAACACACGAGAATCAAGTGCCTCAAAGCGCATGCAGAGGCGCTTTGCAGCCTCTGCATGTGCTTCTTGACCGATTGACGAGCTAGCGATTGACAGGGGCCATGCCTCATGTAAAGGCCCGTTTACACTAGTGGCAACGACATGCGCTTTGAGTCGTTTGCTGCAGTGCCTCACCGCGCACAACCGTTTACACTACTTTTGTACTCGGTTGTTTGAGACCGCGCGCCAGCGTTGCCAGATGGTATATTTCTATACCAGATTTCGCAAATCTGGTATTTTCAGAAGGTGTCTGGTATGAATATTTTAGATCTGGTATATTTGCCTAAATCTGGTATTTTTCTGGTATTTTCTGACTTACTGCAAATTTACTGCATTAAGTCCCACATCTGAAGTTTGAACTTCCTCCAGCGCAGGCGTGGATTATATAGATTGCCTTCAGAGCGGCGCGACTAGAGGTTTCCTGCCATTTTTGGAACCGCAAGTTTACCGCTTGATGAAATAACCCCTATCTAATTGTTAACATTTAACATAAGTGATTAGTGCAATATAAGCAAGAGAATGATGATCATTGATTGATTACTGATCAGTGATGATATGGACTAGGACGAGTGAGGTTGTTGAACTGATCTCTGCGACGCAAGCTCCACTATTGTTGTTTGGTGGTTTTGAATTCTAGAGTGCCACTTGTTTCAGTGCCACTTGAATTCTAGGGTGCCATTCAATATTTCATTGATCTTCAAAATCATCATCCATTCATAGAACTGGCTGCCTACTGCATCACTTGTCTACTTTGACCTGTCTCCAATGCATTCGTGGAATTTTAATTCAATTTAAATTCTTAGTTAATTTGCGATTTAAGCATACAAGTGATATCAATTCTTTAATAGCTGTCTACTAAGCGCCGCGCTTGTGTTGCATGAGGCATGGCCCCTGTCAATCGCTAGCTCGTCAATCGGTCAAGAAGCGCATGCAGAGGCTGCAAAGCGCCTCTGCATGCGCTTTGAGGCACTTGACTCTCGTGTGTTGCCCCTAGTGTAAACGGGCCTTAACACAAGCGCCGCGCTTAGACTAAAGAATTGATAAATTCTTAAATTCTTAATTCTTAGATTAAAGAATTGATATCACTTGTATGCTTAAATCGCAAATTAACTAAGAATTTAAATTAAATTAAAAATTTAAATCAAATTAAAAATCTAAATTAATTAATTAAAGAAATTCAATTCGTTCTATGGTTTCAATCTATTAATTTGTGACTTCTGATTTTTGATTCTAGATTTTACGAACTGACGATGGAGCTGGTCTCCGAAACGTTTTCTATAAAGATATGAATTTTTGTGGACTATTCTTTTCTTTTAAATTCTTAATTAGTAGATAGATGTCTGTGGTCTAGTAAGGTTGATTGTGTACGCTGGTCCGGCACACCAAATGTTGACTAACACCACTCTCGTTTGGAGTCACTCTCTAGTGGAGCGCCTAATTGATCTTTATAGAGAACACTAATGCCTATGGAGTGTTCGGTCAAAGGAGTACAAAAATCGAAATGCAAATGATGTAAGTTACTTTTACATGACGTGTTTAGTTTATGTGATTGTAGCAACTCCTGACAATTTATGCATTACCGTTTAGCGATTTCAAAGGATGACATAATATCGGTACGAATATTGGAACTTTTTATTTAAGAATAGACTATATTTTTTATAAACTGTACCTTTTTGAATGTGCTAGTTCTCTAATTATGATGCCTATGCTAAATTCTCGTTTAGAACTGGCATAGTGCGAAGAATGACGGACCGCAGCACACCCGAGAACAATGGCCCACAGCTCAAATTCGGTTACATCCATCCTCATTTACGTCTAGGTGGCAACTGGTGTTCAAAGCGCGCGGTCTCAAACTACCGAGTACAAAAGTAGTGTGAACGGTTGTGCGCAGTGAGGCACTGCAGCAAACGACTCAAAGCGCATGTCGTTGCCACTAGTGTAAAAGGGCCTTTAGGAAGAGAGATTGAAAATTAGGAAGCTTCCAAGGCTGTGTTGTCGACGTCTACGAGGTGACTTCTTTGAAGTTTGCAAAGATACTCATGGATTATACAAGGTCCCATAAGAATTGCTAGAATTTGAAACAAGAACCAACACCAGGGGCCACAACTAAAAACTGAAAAACTGCGTTTCAACTCATCCACGCTACAACACTTCTCGCTTCGAGCCACCGACATGTGGAACAGCCTCCCTGACTACATCGACGACGTTCTGAGTATGAACGCGTTCAAGAACAGACTAGATGAAGCTATGGAGAAATATATGAACATTCAAGCTTGAAGTGTCTAGCACTATATCGAACCTTGTAGAAGTCTACTAACTATTTCAAACTAAGTTTTGAAAAGATCCGGTCGAAGGACCAGTTTTTAGATCTGCTGTGAACAAGTCGCAAAAGTACACGAATCGGCGACAGGCCACATCATTCCTATACTTTAGCGTCGAGAACATTATGATATGA